TTAAAAATTCATGCGAATGATATTACTGAACTTTTCATCTGTGAACTAGCTACGCGTTGATTCAAAGGTCATCCAGACGTTGGCAGTGTATTTATAGAATCAATGGCATTTCGCCGCAGGCAGTTGTTTTCAGTCGATACTTATACTTAACAACTTGGGCTTCCGTCAGGGCTCTGTTCCATCACCCTCTCTTTTACCAACGAGTGCAGGATACATGAACTCAGTCACTGCATAAAGTATATTAATCGCAACGGTAATCTCCTAACTGGAAAGCGTTCGTAATGCGGTGGAATACACGAAACGTCTAATCTGTCATGGTTGCTATTTCCAGCAGAGTCAGTTCCAATAAACAGAAATGCATCGAATGTATATTCTTGGCTTGAAACACATGCTGACAAGCTCGACCAGTCGCCTGAGCAGGAATTGATAGAGCCGGTCCGCAGTGTCGTTTACTCGAGCTTGACGATAAGTGACAGATGTTGTAGAATGCCCAGTTAGAGCCGACTGCAGACAAGTTGCGGAAAGCACCATATTATGTTATATGCATTCGACTTCGTGATATTCTGAACACGCCTCGTTGGCAGTTGTACAGAGCTGCCACCTTCATATGATCCGCTGATCAAATGTATTCTCAGACCGTAGGCGTAAGAGTATCCACCGTTTTCTGCGGTTGTACTACATCATTAGCACGTGCTAATGTACTCCGTTTCCAGGATATTACCTCATAACTGATTGGAACTGTAATTTCGAGCACAATACGCTTCACCAACAACGAAAAACTTCCACTGCACAAAGATATGGCTGAGGGGCATTTGTACACCGTGGCGCTTGTTCGAGCTTTGTCTGCATACCGGGGAGGGGGTACCGATTGAGTGTTCCTCATTTGCTTCGTTCTTTAATGGATTTTAATACGTTTGAAGCTAGTTTCTGACAGAATTTCGATGTCGCAAACTGCAACTAAGTCACACACAGTGGGAAAAAATTCTAACTTTTCTATTCTAACTGTATGTATACAGTCGCATTTACGAAGTGAAGTAATGCCATTGGAAAGTAGTTGCTCTTGTAACTGTAATAAAACTTGAACTTGAACATAAGTTAGTCAAGACTTTGGAGAAGATGCCAGTGACGTGTGAAAGGAAAGCGTGAAACGGTCTGTTTATACAATGAAAAATATGACACCGTTGGTCATACTGGTGAACCTAAAACTTCATCATCAAAAACACTGCGCATAATTTATTGCAACTCTTGAAATCTTTCGAGCTTAGTTAGAATAGCAGTTGGTGAAAGTTAAATGCATCTAGAAAAAACAGTTCTTCTGCATAAAAAATCCATAGACAGTTACAACATATATCTGCTAATGATTTATTTATTAATTTTTTATCCACTGGTAGCAGATATATTTTTACTCTGCTAATTTACTATTACTGAATGCTGCAGTAGCTTTACTCATCCTGATTTTATCTTATCTACATGCCGTATGTTTCGAAGCATTCTAGAACTATCTTCATATTGTATGTAGCATAAATACCATTAACGTAGAGCAACAAGCAGAATGTAGCAAAATACAACAAACAACGAATGTTGATGATTATCTG